TTTGCTCTTACATTCGACACAACGTCTACCTCGCGGGTCACGTCGTGCTTTGGGAGTCGGCCTTTTTCCGTCTTCTTGCTTCTCATCGCTGTATGTTCCCCTTCGCTGTAACATTTATTGTACCATTATTCTGCATTGTCTGGCGTCGTGTACTGTTCGCTCTCTAGTTCGTATGACTTTCTTCAACGCTTTACCAGCCTTTTGCCAGGACTCAGAGGTTCTTTTACCGTTGGCTATCAGAGCGAATATAACGTAATCAGGTAAATAGGATGAACGTCTAACACCAGATGACTCGTTAAGAGTATTCAAAGACAGAGTCAATTCCAACGAAAATTCGGCAGCATACCGTACCGGGGTGTCCTTCCACCGTATGCTTACTAGTCTGATCCTCAACTCTTTCAGTAGAGCACATACGAGTGTAAGTATTTCTTCTAAGACCTCTCCCCAGTTATCTAAATCTACTCCACAGGCCCATATATGATACCAATAATGTGTTTCGTAGATATATGGGAGCACCTATGTCTCACCGTGCAGTAATTACGGCAAATCCGCTCGATAATGTCTTTATGAGCGGAGACAAAATCAAATGCAAGAGAACTAGGGTTATAACATCCCAGGAAGAGCTCCGAAATGTAATGAACGACGGGCTGTTACTACCTATGCACCGTACCCTATGGCACCCCTACTGGGTTCAGACTCTATCTTCTAAAGACAGCCTATCTATATTACACAGGCTCAAACACTCAAATAATTGCCTTTCAAAAGTATCCCAGTCGAGTAATATTGGAAAGGAAACCCAAGAATAACAGTTCTCCCTCGTGAATCTGCTGTCAGTCAGAGTCCCCCAACCGCTGCATCACACACAGGCAGCCCTAGCCTGGTGGACCGCCGAGCATTCTTGACTTTTTTATCTTAAATTTCTACATACAGTATTGCCATTTGTCTCTATTAGTATTTTGTTTGTTATATTTTATCTAACAAGGTCTCTGCAGTTTCCACTTCAGCTCCACTGCAGTGCCTGTGTACACCAAACGGTTTCCGACGGGGACGCCACGAGCCCTCATAAACAGCGATAAAAACAAGGCGCATAACAACTCTACATAGAAACCTTTCTTGTATCACCTTATTTTAATATTAATTATATATAGTTTCAAGTTTCGCTAGCATTTTCGGCACTATTGTTCCGTACTGCTCCATTCGAGGTGCACGAGACTTGAGGACCAGCCGAGGAACTCCGACTTCTCTGCTCCACTTTCCTGAACTCCTTAATTTGTTCATATTTATTTCTGTTCCTTTTTGAGAGAAAACAGATATTGAAATTCTCTCTCTTCTTTCACAACCATGGCTTCTTTCTACAAGACGGCAACAGCAATGTGCCTCGTCGCACTCGGTGTGCTCCAATCAGAGGCACAAGGGAATACTACAACATATAAATTTAAAGTAGTGGATGTAGATGAAGGTGAGCAGGTTTTCCGCTCCATTTCACACGTCATGCTTTTCTCCTTCGTGTTTGATGCCGAGCTATCATGTACTCTGCTGCTGCGCGCCCCTAGTCGCCTCATTGCTTTATTCCCTCGTGTATCTTTGTTCCTGTTTCTCCGCCGCAGACGCCTACTTGTCCGCCAACTTGGTCCGTAATGGAAAGCTCCCAGTTCACATCAGTGAGGTCACAAAGGACGAAAGCCTCGTCAATGAGTTGACGGCAAAAGTGACAGCCCAAGAACAGCCCGCTGCGGATAGCTGCACTGCATTGTT